ATCATTTGTTTCTCAAAATTCTCAAATTTCAAAATATTTTCAGGTACTGAATTTCCAAATTTATCTACTTTGACTGCTGTAGTTGGTGTTGTCGTAAATGTGTGATTACAGTCGCTCAATTGATGGCGTAATAGCTTAGCCTCATCCGAAAAATGTATCAAACACCCATCGCAGAAAAATTTCTTATGCCCGTTCGAGGACATTTGGGCGGACACCAATCTAGATAAATGTTTTATCCAACAATAGTGGCTCTCACCCGAATCATTCGTTATAAGGAGCAAGTTCACATGTTTACTCATTCTTTTCTTCGAATAATAGAGTGGGCCGACAACGTGGTATTTAACTTGTTGATTTTCTATTACGCTTTCTAACCCATAAACGTTGATGGAGCAATCATTGAGTATTTCAAATTTTGGAATTTTACTCACTTTCATAGGAAACTCTATACCACTCAGATTCAAAACTGTAGAGAAGTGCGGGTATGAAGATATCTCACAATGTTTGGCCCTTGCTGGATATAGGGCGGACGTCACGGCCCAAGCAAAACAGCATTCATCCTGATTCACCACATTCACTACCGCCCTCTTATTGTCTATGAAACTAGGTAGTTTGATGTAGGAACACCCACGTAGCGGACTGTATTTATTGATGTTTATTTCGAGAAATAGTATTTTCTCTAGAGCCCAACCTGTAACAATAGAAAAGTGATTGTTTTATTTATTCAAAGAATTGAGTTATATAGGTGTGATAATGCAGATATTCAAATCATTCTCAACTCACCGGAATCGCGTTCCTCAAATTCAGTTGTTTGGTTCACGATGATGTCTTTGAATGTATCGATGATGGCATCCAAATCAAGGGATGAATCTACGATGTGATTCGGTGTCGCAAAGGATTTGATGTCGTGAAGATCCTGAGATTGTAGAATATATCTACCGAATACTTCCATATTAACCTTGATGGTGTGGTGAATCGACAGCATATTCCCCAATAGGGATGATAAAGTCACCTTATTTTCGGTAAAGAACGTGTTATAATCCAAGACATCCGTTCTACATTCCAATCTATAACTGATAATGCGACACTTGAATGCGTTTTCGATAACATATACACCATCTCTATAATTAACGCAAGCGTTCGAACGATGTTCCAAAGTCCTTTTGTGGGCAGCCATTTTATCGATTGGAACGGTTTTATTGCAAACGGTACACGCTTGCATGTTGCCAGACGTTGATGCTTGATGAATAGTGTCACTCAACCGCGGCCTCTTCGACATTGGTGGATCGAGATTTCCCACACACGACTTTTTTTGGTGGCGACGTAAATTGTCACTGCGGGTGAAAGATTGGCCACAAACGCAGGTCAACATGTTTATCACTCGCGAAAAGAAACGATAGAGTTGAACGATCGACGATGTCAGGAAGACTACAGTCTGGGCATGCAGAAATCGGATTTATAGAAGAGGGGAGTCGTGGCGTAGCCTCACCCCACTACACCATCAAACAGCCTTGGGAAGAAGAACACATGCGCACGAGAGTGGATACACTCAACCCAAGGCCACCACGACAATTGTCCGAGATGAAACCTCCGTATCCCTCCCAAGGTCACTCCCAAGGTCACTCCCAAGGTCACTTCTAAGACCACTCCCAAGGTCACTCCCAAGGTCACTCCCAAGGTCACTCCCAAGGTCACTCCCAAGGTCACTCCCAAGGTCACTCCCAAGGTCACTCCCAAGGTCACTCCCAAGGTCGCTCCGAATGTCACTCCTCCAAGGCCACCCCCCAAGGTAACTCCCCCCAAGGTCACTCCCCCCAAGGTCACACTCCTCTGGCCTTGGGGGGAGATTTGGAAATGGCTAAAGCCCTCTACTAATAAGTGTCCTTCTGAAATGTTGAGGCTGTGTCAGGGGTCATAAAAACAAAAGTTTGATATTTCATTTCTATTGAAAGGTTATAAAATGTCACTTTTCATGAACTACTTTTTTCCTACGGGAAAAAAGTGAGTACTTTTTTCCCGGATATACAGGGTGTTTCAAAAAAACCTGACCCCCTTACTAAGGTAGGTAAAACACTGCAAAATAAGTTGGGTTTACTCAGTAAAAAAATTTCGCAACGGCATCCGTTATCAAGATACAAGGTGTTGAAAAAATAATGTTTTTACACATTTTTCAAGATTATGTCGAAACTACTGGCAACATTGTGATGAAATTTTGTATAGATGTTTCTTGGAATCTGACAGATCGCATGCATTTGTTTTTATATCTGACTCTCATAGAGGGCGCTAGTTACACGGTTCGTACCGAGTAGTTTTGAACATAACTTTTTTGAGGTTAGATTTTTCAATCCAAATTTGATGTGAACTTGAACATCATTCAATTTCACACCAAAAAGGTACTCTTGGTAAAACTCGAAAGTGTGTTCCATTTTCGGAATATTTCGATTTGAAAATGATGAAGTGATAACTGTTGCTGGTATAAAGCTATGTATTAGAGTGAGTATTATGAAAAATTATCACCTATTTATTGAAAACCGGAAACAACAATACATTTCTGATGCAAAACTCATTGATTAAACAATGAATCACAAGAATAACATCGAAACAGATTTGACTAAGAACATGGATTACACAGTTTTGTTGTATCTTGAGCAGAAAGTCTATGCTACATAGGTAAATTCACGTCAAGAGTTGTGAGACATAATTGAACATAACTTAAATGACCTAACAGCTGATCCTCAACTGTTTAGAAGAATAAAACATTCTTAAGAAAAGAATATAGAATCGTGTATTCCTCGAAACGTAGGACATTTTGAACTCTAACTGATTCAATATTTCATGTTTCTAGTCAAATATCTCTTAATTTTCTACTTATGATTCTTCGTTCCATCAATAACTTCAGCACAAGAACAATTCCATTGTTTTTGAACCTGGATAAATAGGTAATTGAACTCAATAAAATTCATTTTATACCAGCATCATTACTACTCCATTATTTTCAAATCGAAATATTCCGATAACGGAACATAGTATCGAGTTTCACCAAGAGTACCTTTTTAGTGTAGAATTGAATGATGTTCAAATTCATATCATATTTGGATTGAAAAATCTAACCTCAAAAAAGTTATGTTCAGAACTACTCGGTACGAACCGTGTAGCAAGCGCCCTCTATGAGAGTCAGATATATAAACAAATTCATGCGATGTGTCAGATTTCAAGAAACATCCATACGAAATTTCATTACAATGTTGCCAGTGGTTTCGGAATAATCGTGAAAAATGTGTAAAAAAATAATTTTTTCAACACCTTGTATCATGAAAACGGATGCCGTTACGACATTTTTTCACTGAGCAAACCCAACTTATTTTGCAGTGTTCTACCTACCCTAGCAAGGGGGTCAGGTTTTTTTGAAACACCCTGTATATCACGTTTATATACACTTTTGATGGCTTTTGTTGTGCTATAGTTCCGAAAAATAAGCCAATAACACCGTCTCCGAGAAAGAACTGCTAGTCCTTTTACCTTCCATTCGACTTCGTGGTTACGTAAATTACTAAACAACCACTAAATTCGCCATTTTTCAGAATCAAATCACAGAATTAGACTGACAGATATTCGATTACTTCGAAAGAATGATAAAGATACCTGCAAAAAGATGCCTGCAACGCTGGTTTTATTCGTGTTAAAAATTTCAAATTTCACGCCAATTATTTTCTGATTTCGATGTAATGTAATATCTTCTCAATATTGATTCGTCCTTCTTCCTGTTACAGAAAAAAAATAGTATTATACAAGGAAAAAATATTAGATTTTAACCTCTATTTTAGCTCACAGAGCTAAAATCTACTACTATTTCCCTTGTATAATAAATAACTATTAATACTAACCTACTACTTCAACATGCTGCATCTAAAAATGAAGCAAATTAGGAGACATATTGATATGAACTTTATTGCCTAATACATGGCAAGATATCACTTCCTGGGTCTTTTGCACTTATTATATTATTAACATTTTGTGGCAATCGAGTTTTTCACTATCTGGTAATTAATTATCCCACTTTGAGAATTTTCATCCTCTTCGTAGTTGAAATAACGCTAATCGGGCAATCAGCCAATCCCATTCCTCACCGAAATGGATTCTGTGTTTTGGAGCATTTATTTCCTTCTATTATATATGTCGCTCGTTCCATGTCATGCTCGGACGATGCAGGTAAACGTAGGACTACTGTATTTTCATTTGGTCAGGTTTTCGCCTTACTCGCCTGACAGAGTGATATTCAGATTTCAGATCGCTGAAACCGTTCTGTAGGTGGTTGGGCGTTACCTGGCTACAATTCGAACAGAATTCGGCATTCATCAGGAAAGAAACACTTTCAATCAGTATTCGTCTATACGAATCATTGCATGCAACGTAGTTATTTTTCTCCCGTTATCTATAACTTCTTATTAATAAACACCCTTTCATTAGCTTCACTTATTTGTGTATGTATATATGCATGTATGTATGTATGTAACCACGACTCCTTTAGACTCGAGTTCGACCCACTATGAACGGACCGATTGATTTGAACTTGGGCAGGTGTACATATTTCTGGTGGCAATGCAACATGACATTTTTGTTAGACAAATATGGCGAACGAGTTTTGTAATAATTATGATACGAGTCTATTAAAAATTTTTATATGGACGGACGATTCTTGAATTCATGATCCGATTTTATTCAATTAATTCATTAATTAATAATTAAACTGTGTTCATGATCATACATCATAGATACTGAAAACAGAGGTGCTAATATTTTCTATGTTGTGTATTTATCAACACACTTTTATTATTTTATTTTTTACCTCTTTTCAGTTTGGCTATCTATAAAAGGGCGTTTATTTAGTTTTTCAAACTACTATTTATTTATTAATTATCTGAACATTTCGTGGAGATGACTGGGTTCATCTTTCTCTGTTCAATATTAGTCTCATATACCAGGTCTTCGTAATATTGGCATACAGGAATTGGATTTGCGTTCCTCCTTCACATCATGAGCTTCACTGTATATCTTCTGCCCTATAGTAACACTCATCAGCCTCCTCAGGCGACAGTGGTAAACAGCCCTACTCTTTTGGCCTATCCTGATATTCCTAATCCTGGATTTAGCCATGATTCTTGGCCAAATATTATTCAGGCTAGTTCCACAGCTTATTCATCATTTCCTTGATGGAATTCATCGCCTGGTTCACAAGCTTAAACACTCTATTCTGCATGCCTATAGGATTATCAAATCTTCTCGATAAACTTTCACTAGTTATAGTTCTTGGCTGTCTGTGTAGATATACTTACAGTAATTGTTTTGTCTGATTTTCTTTGATTTACTATTTCAAAAGCAAATAGCTAATATTAGTTTTTATATAGGTCATTATAATGTATACATTCATGTTTCCATTTTATTTCAGGACAATTCACCTCACAAATCGAAGCATTGGTGATCAAATCTAAACCTAGACTTGTATACTCGACTCGATTAGTTATGTGACATTTAGAACTAACAAGATTTATACATTAGAAATACAATACCGGCTATAACAATAAACAACGTTGATTAGTGAACAGAAAAGAAAGTGGAATGTGATCTTGGTTCGCCACTCGGAAACTTATTGTATGTACATGAGTGCACATGTTTTATTATATTGCAAGTGCCCATGGGTGTTGTGAATTCTGGAACAATAGCATTCTGGCTAACAATCACGAAGATTTTGAAATGGTCCCACATCCTCTTCTTTCATCATTTATTCGTTTCAACATCTGAGCTACATTGGACGCACAAGACATTGTGGCATACAAAAACAAAAGCGTTCAAAGCGAAGATTTCGAGATTGGTTGAATACACAAATATTTAAATATCGAAATCCCAGGAAAAAAAAATGGATATGCCTGAAAAGTTTCTATGAACTTACCTGCGGTTCTGACAATGCAGTACAGCTACTCAAAGCTAAAATATAAGACCCTGAAATGGCTGAAAGTTGAAGTGGATGAATGTGATATTGCATATATGGCCAGGTAGCCGTGCGGTGGCCAGGTAGCCGTGCGGACAGAGTGTCTATATTCTAATTCGCATTCGCTTGCCGGTCGTGGGTTCGATCCCCGTCGACTGCAGAAATTTTTCTGATGGCCCAAGAAAGTGTTTGGGATCACACGTTAAAAGGTAAGGCCCCCGTCATTCCTTGCTCGCACAAGACTTTCGAAGACTTTTGAGGGTTGCTCGTAAGGGGGCAACCGAATGACGGATAGAACAAATTTTAGAACAAAATTTTATATCTATATGTATACAGGGTGTTTCAGAGTTTCAGTGACATAAGCATATATAGGGGAGAGTTCGCTAAGTAAAATATGGAAAGAAGTTCTCATGAACATAGGGCCGAAAATGCTTGGTTTTCTGCTGGACCAATCAGGTATTATTCAAAATGTACAGGGGCATACCCATCAGTTATTTATTGCAGAAAAGAGTTCACTCTGTAGTTTGTATGCTGTTTTCATTCATTATACATACATACAACCCACGAAAAACACATAATTTTTGTCTCCTGACTTTTTTCAGTCTCTTGCACCGTTTTCTAGAAAAAATGACGATATTATACCTCGGTACATACACGTCTCTAAATACCTTTAGGAAAAATTAAAATGTTTAGGAGTTACTTATCGAATCATTGGAAAGTTCTCGGGAAAGTCAAAGATAGATACCTTCTAGTATTGAAAACAGTAATAGCCTATAACATGAAAACGAAGTTTTTCGGATCCAGGTTATCATATGAATATTTTTCCATATCTAGCTGATGATTTCACCCAGGCTTTGGTCATTTCAACTTTGAAGCAACCTGTATATATAATATATATTATGAATATTTTTCTTTCAAATTTAAGCGATGAATGTAGCTGATAATATAAGACGAAAAATGAAATTAATGAACTTTTCGCATACATTTTTTTTGTGGATAATGTTAAATTTTGCCTTATGGAGCTCTTATGCAAGTCATCAATATCAACATCGGTTCAGTCTCCAACTAGCAGTTCGGCTAGCTAGCTAGCCGGCGGTCTTCGAACTGCTGGCTGATAGCTATATATGGAGACTATACACTGATGAACGAGCCAAAAACTCGAAACCGGTCAGTAGGTATCGTTGCGTTAACCTGACTAAATCGAAATCAATCGGCCTTAAAGGAAGAAACACATTAAACCATTCGTTTATAATCGATGCATAGACTTCGGGAGGATGTAATTCAATTTTCTGCGTGGCATTAGCCAGGAGAGTTGTTCATTTCATGAACATTTGTGAAAATTACTTTGAGCTTATTTGTATTTATTATTCAGATTCGTTATGTGACCGTCAGACCGTTATGTGCGTCCATAAAGTAACGCATAAATTCATTATTGGCTAAATGAACAATAAAATTAGAAATTCCCGAAACAGGTCGATTTTTGATTTCAATTCACTACTGTTTCAAATCATAATCTAATATACAGGGTGAACCACTTTCGTGTAATGACGTCATCACCATTTTTTTCAAATGGAACCCACCCCTTTTTTTTTCAATTTCCAAATTGCCTTTGCTGAGCTGATTCCAAAAATGTATGATATGTTGCTTCAAATTGGTACAGAGTGGGCAAAAATGCAAAAATTTACTTACAAAGTAATAAAAATAATGAATAAACGTAATAAACACATTAAATGAAATTACGTATTGTTATACAACTACTTTGATAAACTATCAAGAACATCCAGCAGTATCCTTAATAATTGTATCTTACAGCTTGTATTAGTGATCCAAGCCCGTGGACTATAAAAATCTTTTTGTTTGGCATTATCTTTTACCATTTTTTTAATTTGACAAAACTGTCAAAAACATTGAAGCACAGTTTCGTATTGTTAACGCTTTAGAGAAGGTACGTTCGTGAACTTTTTTTACAAAATGCCTTTAACCGAAAGTGACAGGATTGAAATATTACTGATGATTGGTATTGGCGATACTGGTACTGGTACTGGTGGGGGACGTTTCCACGTCAGCAACTAGTCCCCAATGGGACCTTTTTGCCAACCCCAAGTGTTTTCAATGACTGATGTGGTTCGCTCAAGAGAGCTGGCTAACATCCTTTTCAGGCACCGCCCATCAGCTCCCTTTTCAGAGTTTTTCAGCTGTGTTTTGTAGGCTAGTAATGTACTCACTACCATATGCGCAGTGGCAGGCCTGCTAACTATCATCGTTAACCCCCGAGACCGAGGTCTACTTAAGCAGCTGGCCCGCTCTCACGCTCAGCTGGTAGTTTTCCGCACCCACCTACATACACGTAGGCTAGTAATGTACTCACTACCATATGCGCAGTGGCAGGCCTGCTAACTATCATCGTTAACCCCCGAGACCGAGGTCTACTTAAGCAGCTGGCCCGCTCTCACGCTCAGCTGGTAGTTTTCCACACCCACCTACATACACCGTCCTACTTCTTCTCTGATGCTCACAACCACATCGTCATATCTTTCTGCGTGTTCTGTGTAGGCTTTGTTACTAACTCCATGCGCCACTTTAGGAGCAGCACTGTTAATTGGAACGCAACAGCGAATCGTGCAGGACTATCCCCAGCCGATGCTCCGAAACTTTACAATATTTAATTCGTAAATAAAATATTGAAAAAAGTTCCTTGCCCGTGCTGGAAATCGAACCCACGACCTTGCGGTCGGTATTGGCGATAAGATGCGGACTCAACAAGAGGTATATGCCGATTATTCCATGAAATGCACCCAGATCGTGAACCAATTTCACAATCTACGGTAAGTAGAATAGAGCGAAAATACAGAGAATTAGGACATGTGAGGGATGCAGCAAAGCAAGGTAGACCAAAAATTGATGAAAATATTCAACAAGACATAATTTTGTCGGCTGTAGAAAATCCACACTGTACAGTGCGAGGATTATCTAGGGATTTCGGTATTGGAAAGTCTTCAGTATCAAACATTTTTAAAAAGGTAAAATACCATCCTTATAAAGTACGTCTCATCCATGAATTGGCTGAAGACGACTTTGACCGAAGAACTGAATTCTGCGAGTACCTATATGATGAACCAAAATAACAATTTCATTGATAACGTTTTATTTTCGGACGAGGCAACGTTTTATTTGAACGGTCATGTTAACCGGCAAAACACCCGTTATTGGTCTGATAAAAATCCACACTGGATGCAAGAGTACCATACGCAAAGACCACAAAAAACTAACGTATGGGCTGGTATTGTGAGAAATACAATTATTGGTCCATATTTTTTCGATGAAAACATAACAGGAGCATTATATCTAGATTTCCTACAAAATACATTAATTCCTGATCCAGCTTTTTCCTGATATTCAAATACCCACTAATGTAGATCGCAGTAACTGTGCGCGATTTTTTAAACACAACTTTTCCACAAAGGTGGATAGGAAGAAGGGGACCAGTGGAATGGCCTGCTAGATCACCTGATCTGAGCCCATTAGACTTCTTTTCATGGGGTTATTTAAAATCTAAAGTCTACTTAAACAGACCTGGTAATATCCCTCAACAAGACCGAATCAGACAAGAAATACAGAGCATAACACCCGCTATGCTGCAGAATGTTAGAGACGAAAGTAATGCCCGGTTCAGTCATTGTCTAACGGTCAATGGAGAACAATTTGAACATTTATTGTGAATTTTCGTTTGTTTGTTTGTTTTTGGAAGTGTATCACATTAATTGCATAACTACATAATTCCATTTAATTTGTTTATTACATTCAGTAACGTATTACTTTCCATAAACAATTTTCATTTTTTTTTGCATTTTTGCCCACCCTGTACCAATTTGAAGCAACATATTATACATTTTTGGAATCAGCTCAGCAAGGGCAATTCTGAAATTGAAAAAAAAGGGGGTTCCATTTGAAAAAAATGGTGATGACGTCATTACACGAAAGTGGTTCACCCTGTATATTAGATTATGATTTGAAACATAGTAAATTGAAATCAAAAATCGACCTGTTTCGGGAATTTCTAATTTTATTGTTCATTTAGCCAATAATGAATTTATGCGTTACTTTATGGACGCACTGTATAGTACAGTACATGAATCGAATATCGCCCCTGTTTCTCAATTACCATTCA